CCAGACTGCCTATGCAATCCAACATATTGTGTTTTGATTAGAACATTATTTGTGGTAATAAGAGCCTGTACAGAAATTTATGAAATTAGAACAGACTGGTCAACGAGCATGAGACTCATTTTCCTGATCAATGATCAGGAAGTCAACACAAGCCTTGTGTTTGTCAGCACCAATCAAGAAGAGTCAGCATCTGTCCAGGAACCGGAGATGGAGCCAGGATGGAAGATGTCTCTCATTCATTTACAAATTTTGGACTACATCAGCATAATATTCCTATAAGAGACTCAATCTAATAATGCTCAAAGTGTGGCAGACCTGAGGAGTCTGTTCCACCTGCCTCACACTGCTCCATGGGAAGGACAGAGATGGTGTATTCGGAGAGTGTCAGATATGCTATGGGAAAGCATGATTCTGGTCACTTGGGGGCTTCTTTCTCAAAGGAAGAGGAAGAAGTGCACTTTTGGAGTCTTAGATTGTGTGCAGGGAGTCAGATTCTGCTGTATGGAAACCAGAGATCTGGTCCTTGGCATTGTGCTTAGGGAAAAGAAGCATTTTGGAGTTTTGAAGTTTTGAAATTATGGAAGTTTTGGAACTATGTGTTGGCAGGCTGCAGGAAAGCAGGGTATGGCCTAACAGGTGCTTCTCCAAGGTGGGAGAAAGTAATATGGTAATATTTGAATGCCTGAGGATGAATGCATGTACATGCGTGTGAATGTTGAGTGAAAATGTAATTTATCTTTGTTTGTTTGTTAGCCTTGTAATTATAGATCTATTGTAGTTGCATAGAAACTATATATCTGTTTGTCCAATGTCATTCTTTGTCTAAATGTTTTTCTGTAATCTGATATACCCTCTCACACAGGAAACTGCAAAAAAAAGAACCTATGCTTTAAATAAATAAAAATAATTTTATTATGTACTGATGTTTTTAATTAATTGTTGAATTGTTTGTATTTGTATTGCTTGTGAATTGTTTTGGGCATCTAATTGTGCCCCTACTGTAAGCCGCCCTGAGTCCCCCCCGGAGTGAGAAGGGCGGGGTATAAGTAAATGAAATAAATAAATAAATAAAGTTATTGAAAAGTCATTAATGACACCAATATTCTGTGGTAGCCCTGTCACAGCTGCAAAAACTGCAGCAGGGGATTGCTTTTCTTTGTTCCAAGGGGACCTCTGATGTTTTTGTACAAACCGGACACAGTCTGTACCACTGTGCCTCTTGTGCAATAATACATGGCGGAGTCTTCAGGCTTCAAGCTGTTCATCTGAAGATAAACTGAAGTCTGGGAATTATCTCTAGAGATGATGAGTCTTCGCTTGACCTTGGGGTTGTACCATTGGCTATTTCCTGTAGGTTTGCTAACTCTAGCCACCCACTCCAGGCCTTTCCCTTTAGCCTGGCGGACCCAAGACATTTCATAGTCAATAAAAGTGAAGCCAGAGGCTTTGCAGGAGAGATTAAGGGAACTTCCAGGGGCTATAATGCCTTCTCTTCCCATTTCTACCAGCGAGACCTGTGAAAGACAGCCTGTAAACAACAAACAAAAATGAGCAGTCTGTACAGGAAAATGCAAAAAAATAAAATAAATGTGCCTCATCAGAGAAACATTACCAAAGAGAGTTTCAAATAAGGTGAGAAGTTTCAACCAGAGAATCATGTCTTTGGTTGTGTCAGATGCAGTTGAGTTATTTTGCGTGATGGAGGCCTTTCCTAACTTTAAAAGGCTGTGAGTAGTTGGAGATGCCACATGTTGACATAAAATCAGCCTTTAGTAGATACAACAGTCTGATTAATTTGCATGGACTGTACTTCATAAGGGTTGCAAATCCCCCTCCTTTCAACTCCTGACTCATAGCATTGCCCAAGATTGGTTAGGCTGGTAAGGGTTTTTCTACATGGACTCAATGACAGACTGTGGCTGAGAGGTCACTCCTGGATGCCTCCATGAAATCTAGAGACTTCTGGTCCTTCTTATGGGGTAAACTGGATTAAAATGTTCAACCCCATGCTAACAAAAGTCAGGGAATGTTTTGGAGTTTGAGTGAAGTCTGGAACAGCCCCACACCTTGGGCTATTACTGCTCTAGACTGGTTGTGGATGAAGTGGTCAATTTATATAAACCCTAATCTTACATTTCAGTAATATCTGGAGTACTATATGATTCCTTCCCATTACCAGATTGATTTGGAATAAGATGATCTGGAATTATCTAATTTAGTATAAGAAGGAGGAAAATATTTAAGTATTTAAATACTTCTAAAATGCGTTCTTGATACACCTCTCTATCACGCCATCCTAGACTGCTTGATTCCATATCCAGTAGATGATTTTTTCCACGATTTCCTTTGTTGGTTTACTTCTGATTACTTCTCAGAAGGGTTTATAACAGTGGTTCTTA